TTTAATTATTTATTTTTATTTATTTTGAGTGAGACTCTTATTATGTCGCCCTCGGTAGAGTGCCATGGCATCACAGCTCACAGCAATCTCAAACTCTTGGGCTTAAGCAATCCTCTTGCCTCAGCCTCCCAAGTAGCTGGGATTGCAGGCTCCTGCCATAACGCCCAGCTATTTTTGTTGTTGTTGTTGTTGTTTCAGTTGTCATTGTTGTTTAGCTGAACAGGCCAGGTTTGAACCTACCAGCGTCGGTGTCTGTGGCCAGTGCCCTACCCACTCAGCTATGGGCACAGCCCAGCACTGGCTATTTAAAGTGTCTCTTCTGCAAGTAAACAACACAAACATTCCTAGGGTGAAAACTGCCTAAAATACTTACCTTTGGTGGTGAGAATTTTTGAGCTGACTTCCAGTTTCTCCAATGGCTCCATTCCAATATTTTCCAATTTAATGATAACTTGCTGAGTTTCTCCATTGTAAAGCTGGACAGATACATTGGTAGATATTTCATCACCAGAAGAGGGCTGCAATGAATGTGCAGATCTAAAATAATAGTAATGACAATAAATGTAGAGAAGAGATAAGAAACCAACGGCATTTTAGAATCATTCACATCAGATAAAAGGATCACCACACTTACACACTTCAGAAACAGGTGCTGGGAAACCCTGGCTCTAAACATGAAATCCAGTGCTGAGCTACCAAGAGCAGAAAGTGAACTGCAGCATGCCATGGACTTCCTACAGGCAGACATGTCAGAAACACAATCACCTCACTCAGCTTAGTTGCTCATATGTATGTAAAGCGCAGAAATGATTAATTACTGAATTATGGAGGACAAAAATTAAAGAACAAACTAATTCAAATGAACCATCAGAGTGTTGTTCTTCCCAAATCTAAAAAAAAAAAAATTGTGATGCTAGAATTGCCTTGGGAAAATCCATAGATTAAAAAGGAAAACTTGTATGAACTGCCCGATAACATGAGAACTGACATCAAAGAGAAATGAAAATATATATGACAGACTACCCCATAGGTTAAAAACTATGAGAGATGACCACCAATACCCAGTCTGACACAGGCAGCTCAGCCATGGTCTGGGGTCAGACTGTGTCCACAGGGCTCCACCCAGGGGCTCCATCCACACACCAGTCGGCTGAGGCAGCCACCCCTCCCTGGAAGTGCAGCCCAGAGGCCAGGCCTCCCCCAAGACTCCTGCATTAAAGCTCTCTGTCTGTAAGCTCCCACCTGAGTTCCACTGCCTCTAACCAACAGCATAAAGCTAATTATCCTGGTTGTCTCCATCTCAACCCAGAGGCAGCAAACAGATTTACAGGCAAGGAAGTCACTGTTGACCATGACCACAGGGAAAAGGCTTTTCTTAGCACAATGGGGACAAAAGCCAACAGATGAGGAACAGAGGTGTGTGTGATAGGTGAGGTTAAAATGTGTACACAACTCTCAGAAGAGGTCTGCCCACAAAAGAGAGGGGAAGCTGGAAGGGCTCACCAGAGGGAAAAGGTCAATACATCCTCCTGGGACCAGAAAGGTTTATGAACACACTATTATTTTCTCCCTGTACCTGAAGGATATCCACAGACAGCCACATTAGTTAAACCTGTATGAGGCAACACTTCGCCTCAGTGAACCAGAAATGACTTATGAAGTCTGCTAAGCAGCCTCTGGGCTGTACCACCCTAGCCAATATCCAATAGCCTTTCCAACAACCAGACCCTTCCAACTCTACTCTTAGCCACAGCACAAAGGATCAGAGTTAGGCCAAGTACTGTTTTTCAAGCCACAGGATAGGTTTGTGTCCTCACACTATGTGATCCAAAGGACAAAAAAGAATGTTCCAGACAGTGATGGTCTCTCACTTCTGACCAAAGAAAGAAACACTTAAAACAAGTCAGCCTGATCCATCCAGTCACATACTCCCAGGGGCTTCCACTTCCAGACTCTGGTGGCAGAATGTTTATATCCAAACCAAATATTCATAAAATAATAGCACAATCAATTGAGGTGAATTCCTTTGCATTAAAATATGCTTAATGTTGTTCATAAGTCAAGAAATAAACTTCATCTTGTCAAGGAAGGAAAACTGACTCAGGTCCTCACCATGAATTGCTTCCTCTTGCCTTTTATCAGGCCGTCCTTCCCAAGCAAAAGCTGTATGTAGTCAATCTGGATTTGCAGAGAAGGTATTAGGAAAAAAACAAAACATGTCCAAGACTGATTACTGTGTGTCTCCAATGACAGGGCGCCAAAGCCCCCAGTACCATGGAGAAAGAGAGGCAGCAGAAAGTACCCAGAGCGGAGGAACCAGGCAGCCCCAGGCCTGGCCCTGACAAGGTAACTGAAGAGCCACAGCGTCGTGCCACAAGGGCCCTGGGCACCCCTCTGGGTAGCTCTGCCCTCCCCATCCCTATACTGAACAAAAAGCTCTTTCAGGATAGAGACAGTATATTTTATTTCTGCACTACCAACTCAGACCTAGCCAGATACCTGGCACACAGTAAGTACCATTAAATATAAACTGAACAGAATGGAAGAAAAAGTATCCAATGTACACACCCCTATTATGAAACTAATTTATACGTTTTATATGAGCTATAACCTAATAACAGCCTAAGAATATGGGGGGGGGGGAGGGAGAGGGGGAGGGGGAATGGATGGAGGGAGGGGGATTGGAGGGATCACTTCTGAGGTTTATCTTACAAGGGTACAAGTGAATCTTTCTAAGAGCAGAATGTGAACGTTTTAAAATAATAACTAAGAAAATGACATGAAGGCTATGTTAACCAGTTTGATGAAAGTGTTTCGGATTGTGTGTGAAAACCCCACACTGTACCCCAGAAGTGCATTAATGTACATAGTTACTATTCAATAAAAAAAAAGAAAAGAAAAAATAAATAAATATAAACTGAACAAATGAATAAGCATCTCAAATTTGAATGACCTGTACAACACAGAAAAGTCTCCTGGCGTTAATGGACACAGGCCCAGGAGAGAGACCCATTACACACTCAATGGCTGCCTCCTAGTAGCTCAGCCCTCTGGGCACATCTCACCATGGGCTGCTGGGACACAGAGAAAGCAGGACAACGCATCTCCATAGGAGACGCCATCAGGCCACCTGCCCTTGACCACTACCCTTCCCTACAACCTCCTGCTCTGCCTCCGTTCCACCCCCATCACAGCTGCTTGCCTGCAGGCCCCTGCTCCTCTGCAGAGCCCTTTCTTTCTTTTTTTTTTTTTTTTATTATTTGTTTGGTTTGGTTTTTATTAAATCATAACTGTGTACATTGATGCATTTATGGGGTTTAGTGTACTGATTTGATATACAATGTAAAATGCTTATATTGAACTGATTAAAACATCCATCACAATTATACTCTTTTCTTAAAAGTTTTGAAATGTACCATTGCATCATGCACTTTATGTGAGGTTCCCCCCAAATATCCTCCCTCCTCTTACCTCCCCCCTCCTGTCTCTCTCCTCTTCTTTCTACTTTCTGGACTATAGTCATGTTTTACCATTCGTATGAATCTGCAGGTGATTATATGTTGATTTCATAGTAGTATCGAGTACATTGGATACTTTTTTTCCCATTCTTGAGACACTTTACTAAGAAGAATATGTTCCAGCTCCATCCAGGTAAGCATAAAAGATGTGAAGTCTCCATTTTTTTAATGGCTGCATAGTATTCCATGGTGTACATATACCACTATTTGTTAATCCATTCATGGGTCAGTGGGAACTTGGGCTATTTCCATGTCTTGGCAATTATGAATTGGGCTACAATAAACATTCTAGTGCAAATGTCTTTTCTTGTAAAATGATTTTTGATCATCTGGGTATATACCTAGTAGAGGAATTGCAGGATCGAACAGTAGGTCTACTTTTAGTTCCTTGAGTATTCTCCAAACTTCTTTCCAAAAAGGTCATATTAGCTTGCATTCCCACCAGCAGTGTAGAAGTGTTCCCTTCTCTCCACATCCACACCAACATCTGTATTTTGGGATTTTGTTATGTGGGCTAGTCTTACTGGAGTTAGATGATATCTCAAAGTGGTTTTGATTTGTATTTCTCTGATGATTAGAGATGATGAGCATTTTTTCATGTGTTTGTAAGCCATGCGCCTGTCTTCTTCAGAGAAGTTTCTGTTCAAGTCTCCTGCCCACAAAGAAATGGGGTTATTTGTTCTTTTCTTATTGATTAGTTTGAGTTCTCTGTGGATTCTAGTTATCAGACCTTTGGATTCTAATTATCATACCTTTGTCAGAAGCAATAACCTGCAAAAATCTTCTCCCTTTCAGAAAGTTGTCTGTTTGCTTTACTTACTGTGCTCTTGGCTATACAGAAGCTTTTTAGTTTGATCAGATACCAGTAATGGATTCTTGGTATTGCTTCAATTGCCCAGGGGGTCTTCCTCATAGAATATTCTCCCAGGCCAAATTTCTTCAAGCGTTTTCCCTGAACTCTCTTCTAGTATATTTATAGTTTCATGTATTAAGTTTAAATCTTTTATCCAGTGAGAATCAATTTTTGTCAATGGTGGGGGTCCAGTTTCAGTCTTCTACAGGTCCCAGAAGTTCACCCAGCACCATTTGTTAATTAGGGAGTCTTTCCCCCACTGAATGTTTTTGATAGGCTTATTGAAGATCAAATGCTGATAAGTAGCTGGGTTCATCTCATCTCTATTCTGTTCCATAAATCTACGGCTCTGTTTTTGTGCCACCACCATGCTGTCTTGATCACTATAGATTTATAGTATAACCTGAAGTCTGGTAACGTGATACCTTCCTGATTTGTTTTTATTTCTGAGTAATGTATCTGCTATTCGAGGCTTTTTCTGATTCCATATAAAACAAAGCACTATTTTCTCAAGCTCTTTAAAGTATGACAATGGTGCTTTAATAGGGATTACATTAAATCTGTTGATTGCTTTGGGCAGTATGGACATTTTAACAATGTTGATTCTTCTCAGCCGTGAATATGGTATGTTTTTCCATTTGTTAACATCTTCAGCTATTTCTTTTCTCAGAGTTTCAGAATTCTCTTTATAGAGATCTTTCACGTTCTTTGTTAGGTAAATTCCCAAGTATTTCATCTTCTTTGGCACTACTTTAAAAGTAATAAAGTCCTTAAGTATATTTTCAGTTTGACTATTGTTGGCATATATAGAAGCTACTGATTTGTAAATCTTGATTTTATATCCTGAAACACTGCCATATTCCTTGATCGCTTCTAAGAGTTTTGTAGCTGAGTCCCTGGGATATTCCAGGTATAGGATCATATTATCTGTGAAGAGTGAGAGTTTGATCTCCTCTGACCCTATTTGGATACCCTTGATCACTTTCTCTTGCCTGATTGCAATGACTAAGACTTCAATTACTATGTTGAATAGCAGTGGAGACAATGGGCATCCTTGCCTAGTTCCTGATTGAGTGGAAATGTTTTCAACTTTATACCATTAAATATGATATTGCTGTGGGTTTGCTGTAGAAGGCCTCTTTAAGGCCATAAGTTTAAGAAATGTC